GCACATGCCCCGCAGCCCCGGGTGTAAGGCTGTCACGTGCTGGCACCGTGTGTGCACGAGGGAGACAGGCGGGGGGCCAGGCCCGGTCTCCGTGGCCAGCTGCGTCCTGGCGCCGTGCCGTTCCAGCGATCACTGCTTTGCTTCCCAAACTGGGGGGCCCACCTCCCCTCAGTCCCTGTATATATTGTGTTCCTGCTGTGTGTCGTGGTGCCCACACCTGGTGGTGGTGACAGACCTTCAACAGCCCCCGAGTGTTCTGTGTCATGAGATGTCGGGAGGAAAGCACGGGGCCCCGCCGGGGTCTGTGTGGTCAGGGAAGGGCTCTGGGGTGACGACCTGGGCGGAGCCCTGAGGGCTGAGGAGGGGGCAGGGTGTCCTCACGTGGGCTTCTCCCACCCCTCAGGGATGAGTATTTCCGAATGAAGCTGCAGTGGAAATCGGTGAGCCCCGAGCAGGAGCGGAGGAACTCACTACTGCACGGATACCGCAGCCTCATCGGTGGGTTGGTTGCTGGAGGGCGCCCCTCCCTCCCCAGGAGCAGGGATGAGGCCATCTGGGGGGACGCGGGGTGGGAGGGGCCGAGGATGGGGTGGGTGGGGAGGGGCTGGCTCCTTGGGTTTAAATCCTAGCTCTGCCAACTACTCACCGTGAGATCTTGGCAAGTGATTGTACCCCTGGGCCTCAGTTTCCCCACCTGTGGATGGTTAGTAAGCGTCAGTGCTGGGAGGGTGTGGCGAGCATAAAGCAGCAGCGCGCCTCACTCCACAGTGTTCCGGTGGTTTTGGGACCAGCCCATCCCTGCCTGGGGTCTACGGGCGAGGGGAGAGGGGCCGGGTGCTCGTGGCAGCAGCGATGGGACCCCCGGCACCATTCTCACCTTCGCACCCTGCACCCGGTCCCCGCAGAGAGAGACGTGAGCCGCACGGACAGGACCAACAAGTTCTATGAGGGTCCCGAGAACCCGGGGCTGAGCCTGCTGAACGACATCCTCCTCACCTACTGCATGTACCACTTCGACCTCGGTGCGGCCCCCGCGGGCAGGGCCGGCCCTTGGGGGTGCTAAGGGCCTGGGCCGCGCCATGACCGCGTGTCCCCACAGGCTACGTCCAGGGCATGAGTGACCTCCTCTCCCCGATCCTCTACGTTGTTCAGAATGAGGTGGATGCCTTCTGGTGTTTCTGTGGCTTCATGGAGCTTGTGGTGAGGCTCCCGGTGAGGGCGGGAGACGGCCCCCTTCCAAGGAGCGGGTGCAGCCCCTCACGTGGCCCTCCTCCCGCAGCACGGGAACTTTGAGGAGAGTCAGGAGACCATGAAGCGGCAACTCGGGCAGCTCCTGCTGCTCCTCCGTGTGCTGGACCCACCACTCTGTGACTTTCTAGGTACGCGTCCTGGGCAGCGGGCAGGGGACGGCAGGGCCACAGGTGTTGCCAGAGAGTTTCTGGGAATGAGTAGCCACAGACGGTGTCCAGGACATACAGTCCTGCTCTAAACATGAACATGCGGTGTAACCCAGAGCCCCAAACTTTCCTGGAAGGGCAGCGTTGCGGTTTGGAGCAAAACCCCCGCAAAGGCGGGTGTGCGTGCTGCCCTGCGCCCGCCTGCCGCTGTCAGTCCCAGCCTCCCCGCTGACCTCGGGGCACGCCCCACCTCCTCCCGCCTCGGGCCGTGGCTCAGGAGCTGGCTCTCAGGCCTCCTGGCGCTGCGGCTGCTGCATTCTGGCTTTAAGATGTTTCTTCGTTAACTTGTTCAGTGTGAAAAATAGAAGAATTTCAGATACAGGAAAGGAAGTGACTGTTGGTAGTAGTATTCCTTTGCGTACAGATGGTAAGTTAGCTCATTTATGGGTATTGCATCACTGAAGTGTAGTCTCACCCTGGGGAGGAGAGAGGTACTGGCCTTGCTTCACTGGGGAAGAAACTAAGGCCTAGGAAGTTCATGCCAGCTCCCTGGGGCACTTGGATATTAGCTGTGTCATTAGGTTTTTAAACTTCTTTATTCACTGCGCAGCATTCTGTCTTCACCACATACAAGAATAGGTTTGGCCCTGGCTGCTGTGGCTCAGCGGATTGAGCGCTGGCCTGAGAGCCAAAGGGCCGCCGGTTCGATTCCAGTCAGGGCACATGCCTGGGTTGCAGGCCAGGTCCTGGGTTAGGGGCATGTGAGAGGCAGCCAACTGATGTAGCTCTTGCACATCGGTGTTTGTCTCTTTCTTTCTCCTTTCCTCTCTAAATTAAGTAAAATCTTTAAAAAAAAAATAAAATAGATTTGACGTGGCCTCTTGCACATTGAGGTTATTTGCAGTTTTTTATCATGATGAATGCAGTCTGAATAATTTTTTTCTTTTAAAGAAATACTTGTTTATTTTTTAGAGAGATGGGAAGAGAGGGAGACAAACATCAATGTGTAAGATACACATTGATCGGTTGTTTGCAGGCCCCCAACTGGGGACCTGGCCCACATCCCAGGCATGTGCCCTGACTGGGAATCGAACCAGCGACCTTTTGGTTTGCAGGCCAGCACTCAGTCCACCGAGCCACACCAGCCAGGGCTAGTCTGGATCATTTCTTTAGGTAAAATGATAGGAAGTGAAATTGTATCTAGGGCAGTACATGTTTTTGCAGCTTTTTTAAATGTCCACGTCACTGCTTTCCTAGAAAGTTAAACCAACTCCCGCTTCTGCTCACAGTTGCCTGGCACCTCCACCAGCACTGGGTCTCACTGTGTCCCTCCACGTGAGCATGGGAAACATGGCACGGCTCACCTTTTCTGGGGTTTGGAAGGCAGGATGGGGAAGGTTCCAGATGACAGCGCTCCTGTCTCAGCTCCGAGGCCTTCCCACGCTGGGCATGCGTTACGGGCCGAGGCTGGCGGAGGGCCTCCCAACCAGGGCGACTTAGTCTCAGTCCGACCACTGGGCTCGCTGTGAATTAGAGCGGGACTGGCGTTGACTTTGGGCTCGCTGTTTGCGTAGCGCCACCCTTCCCACTGCTGTCCTCCCCTAGACTCCCAGGACTCTGGCTCTCTCTGCTTCTGCTTCCGGTGGCTGCTCATCTGGTTCAAGAGGGAATTCCCCTTCCCGGATGTCCTTCGGCTATGGGAGGTGGGCCAGCCAGCTTGGGTGGGCGGCCTGTGGGAGGTGGGCAGGGGCGGGGGCACACCTGGGATGGGACCGCAAGCAGAGGCTGGGCCGTGACCCCTCCCTCCGGCACTCCTAGGTGCTGTGGACAGGGCTTCCGGGACCCAACCTGCACCTGCTGGTGGCCTGTGCCATCCTGGACATGGAGCGGGACACCCTCATGCTTTCCGGCTTCGGCTCCAATGAGATCCTCAAGGTGAGGCCCTGACCCCTTCTGGTCTCCACCTTTTCCCTGCCCATCCTGACCTGGGCAGCTGGAACACAGCAGCTGGATGTGAACTCCCTGGAGGCCGGCACTGTGCCGGTGCCGCAGTTCTTTGCAGTAGTCAGCGCTCAGAATAGGACTGTTGCAAGTATGGGCAGCTCTGAGCGCGGCAGCCGTGAGACCAGCTCTGTTTCTCTCCTACTCCGTCCTATCCCTGGCTCCCAGCCATGTCCTCACAAAGCCGGTGGCCCGTGCATGTGTGGGCTCCCACAGGTGTTCCTAAGCCAGGCTGGTTGGGGCATGGGGGTGGAGCGCAGTGCTCTTTTCCCTCCTGGTATCTTGCATCCGGAGAGCCTGACCTCCTCGGAGCCCCGGAGGGCCAGCCCCGGCAGCATGGGCGCTGTGGCGGCCGTGGGCGGGTGCCTGCGGCAGGCAGGCCTGACTCGCCCACTCCCGCAGCACATCAACGAGCTGACCATGAAGCTGAGTGTGGAGGACGTGCTGACCAGGGCCGAGGCCCTCTACCGGCAGCTGACCGCCTGCGTGGTGAGTACCCTGTCCCCCAACATCCCCACTGCCGCCGCCCCCCTCACACCTCTGACTTTCTCCTCCCTCCTCACTCTCCAGGAGCTGCCCCACAACGTCCAGGAGGTCCTGGGCCTGGCCCCCCCCACAGAGCCCCACAGCCCCTCACCTCCTGCTTCCCCACTGCCGCTGTCACCCACCCGGGCCCCACCGGCCCCACCGCTCCCTGGGGACCCAGCCCCGCAGCCTGACAGCAGCTTGGAGATCCTGCCTGAGGAGGAGGAAGAGGAAGGCACAGACTCCTAGGTTGCGGGGTTGGCCGCAGCCTGCCCTGCACAGCACTTTATCGAGCTCCTGCCAGGAAGCTGGGGGTGGAGCAAAGAGGGCGGGGCTCCGGCCTTGCCCCCCACACCCTCCTGATTAGCTGATTTCATTAACTGACACTAATAGTGTCCCGTTGGTTTCAAGTAGTTGTAGGAAGGAGGCTGCCAAGTAGCCTTGAACCTGGACTGGGAGGGGGTGGTAGGTGGTCCCCTCTGACCACTCTGCAGTGCTGGTGCCTGACCTTGGATCCCTAACCAGCCAATGAGACGCAAGAGGAGGCCCCTTGGGGACGAGTGATGGCGAGGGCTTGTGGGGGCGAGTCTTGCTTAACTGCCTGAGTTTGGGGCTTTTGGAAGAGTGAGGCTAGGGGCTGGGGTGCAGCTGCCATCCAGTAGTTGTGTGGGGACACATCCTCAACGTAACCAAGATGGAGGGCCCTGCAGAGCAGCTCAGATGCTCTGAGGACCTGCCTACCAGCTTCTTGTTACTTGAGAAAAATAAACTCGTGTTTAATCCACTGTGGGCGGGGCTTTCCGTTCCTTGCATCAGGCCCCATGGGTGTCGTGACAGCGGGGGCGAGCACTGCGACTGCCACTCGCCAGTGGTGCAAAGCAGCGTCCGTCCTCACCTGGTAAAGTCCTGCTGCCCAGGGGGAAGTCGGACAGTTTCGGGGGCTGAGCGAGGGCTAGTGATTTTGCGCCAAGCAAATCGGGGAGGCAGCTGAGCTGAGGGGCGGGGGGCAGGACCACACAGCTTTTTCCGAAAATACTTTAATATTGGGTTGTCGTCTAGCAGGTTGTGGGCGGGGTGGTCATACAGAGTTCTGGAGAGTGGGGGCCTCCCCCTTTTCATTTTCGCACAGGGCTTGGCTGTCCACAGGTGCCTCCGCCATGCGCACGGGCCCCTCTTCCACCAGCAGAGACTTCTCCTGGTTGTGGATCGGACCGTGGATCTGGCTATTGATCAGCACCGCGGCACGCAGCCCCGACTTGACGGCCGTCTCCACCCAGCCGTGCGGGTAGGCAGTGTGCTCGCCAGCAAAGTAGATGCGCCCATAGGGAATTGCCCAGTTGAAGTCCTCCTGGTACCCCTTGTCGTCGTCCTGCCCGAGCGTCGGTGGCTGCACCACGAACGCTCCCTGGCTGTGCGGATCCTCCGCCCAGCGCTTTGCAACGCCGGTGCCGTCCCATAGCCGATACACAATCGGCCCGTGCAACGCAGCCACGTCCTCGAGCGCCACCTGCAGCGTGTCTTCCAGGCTCAGGCCAGCGAACGAGGCCGCCGCGTCTGACCACGTGTAAGAGGCCAGTAGCAGCGCACCCTCGCCCTGCGGCGGGTAGACTATCTTGCGGGAGGGACGGTCGGTGTTTGAGTGGCCGCCTACGATGTGCTCGTCGTGCCAGAAGGGCCGGCGAAAGCTCAGGAATACCTTGGTAGCTGGCACGTAGTGCAGCGCGTGCAGAGCCTCTTGCCACTTGCGGGCCAGTGGCGGCGAGAATTTCATGCGCTGTAGCGCCGGCCCGCTCGCGGTCAGCAGCACCACGTCGGCGGTGATGGTCTTTAGACTCCGGCCCCGGTGCGAGGTCCCTATGTGCACACGCACCTCGTGTGTCTCCTGTGTTATCCCCGTGACAGGAGCGTGCAGCACCACTGGCACCGACAGCGAGCTCAGCAGCGCGCGCGGCAGCAGGTCCCAGCCGCCCACGATGCGGCTGTACCTGCGGGCGGGGCGGGGCGTGACCTTGGCGCTTGGTCCCGCCCCTTTCTCCTGGCCTGGCGCTCGGCACTCCCGGGTGCCTGTTCTAGTTTTTACCTGCCTGGCGCCCTGGAGCCTTACACACCTTTACTGGCCCATAACTGGCACCTTCCCACCCACTCATCCACCGCTGCCCTCCCTACTCCTGGATGTCCCTGACGACCTGAAGTCCCCCAGGACCGGGAGGCAGAGAGCTGTGTGACCCACGAGCCACCTCTCCACTGGACCACGCCCTTCTCCCTCCGAACCTTTCTCACCTGTTTGCTCCGTATAACTCGGGACATGGGGGCGAGCTGGCCAGACCCAAGCACCCGGTCTCCCCTCCCTTTGGCCCCCTCAGTCTACACGCTGCGCCCTTCTCGCTGGCCCCGCGGGCCCCATACAGGCGCCCCTCCACCACCACCTCCACCACCTCCACTCGGTTACTCTCCGCGATCGGCCCACAGGCCGTGCCCCTCACCGAAGCTGATCGCTGAGGCAGCTGTGGGCCCGCAGGGCCTCCGCGAAGCTGAGGTAGAAGAAGCCGTCCTTGGACAGCACGTCTCCCAGGAGTTGCGTGGCGGGCCAGCTCAGGTTCCCCTCCCCAAGAAGGTATTCCTGGGGCGGGGGCACAGGCCGGGGTCAGAGCCCAGGCAGGCAGCATCTGCCAGTTGGGCCTCACCCCAAGGGGCCTCCCCAACTGAGCCTCCTTGTTCAGTGACACCACTGTGAGTTTCGTCCAGTTCCCTGGGCCTTAGGGGGCCTGTCCCCACACCCTCTTGTGACAGATGAGGAAATGGAAGCCCAGAGGCGGGGCATGTCCAGCCCTGCAGTCAGGCAGGGAGGCCGTGCCAGGCCCGGGTCCCGGGTTCCTGCCCTCTAACTTCTGGGTCAAGGCCCACGGGCGTCCCCCTTGCTGTGGTTTCTGACAGTGACACTGAGGCCCCCACTCACCAGGAGCGTGTGACTGTCAAACTTCTTCATTGCCTTTCTGCAGCCCAGTGTCCTGATGTCTCTGAGGGCCTGCCGGGGAGCAAAAGGGCAGCACTGAGCTGCGGGCAGGACGCCGGAGGCCAGGCCTGGTGTCCGAACCCGGGTTCTCTTCCTTCCTCTGCCCCAGGCTGCCCATTGACCAGGGTCGATCGGGCTGCCTGGGCTTGTGACCTCAGCCTTGCCCTCCACTGCTGTGCAGGTGTTGCTGCTCTGGGAAGTCCTCCTGAGTCACGCCCCCCCCCCCCCGGCACCCTTGAACACTGAAATGCTCGCCCCGGCTGGGGCTCTTGGGCCTGCACCCGTCTGTCCTAGGCTGTGAGCTCCATGCAAACACAGACTGTGTCTGTCTCAGGGCTGTGTCATTCTGGTGCCCAGTATGGTCCTGGCTCATTTAGGACACAGACGAAAGTGGGGCCCCTTCTGCTGGGCATGCCTGCTGGAGGGCTTTACCCACCAGTCTCTGCCCCACCCAGGGCCCTCACATGGCTGCCCAGCACCTGGAGCCACAGAGTTGCTCCGACGCCTGGCACCCAAGGCCCCTGGCAGCCCTCGGTCACCATCTCTTAAGGAAGCTCCAGTTCTACGGGCAATACCCAATGCCCACACCAACCTCAGCTCTCCCCCGCCTCCACACCCCTGCACTTGTCCCGCTGCCTCATCTCTGCCCCGCACACTGGTGGCCATCCTCCTCCGCTCTGTTCCAGCCTCATCTCCTCACTGCCCCATCTGATTTCAGCCCTCTTCTTGGTCACCCTGGCTTCCCCGCTGTGGCCACGGAACTCCCTGAAGGAGGAGCCCTTCACTCACTCACCAACACAGAAATGGCCTGAACAAGGTGCCCACCCTCGTCCAGAAAGGAAGATGGACAATTAGGAGCTGCCACAGAAGGGGGAGGCTGGCTCCTCCCTGAGGGCATCAGGGAGGGCTTCCTGAAGGAGGGGACATTGGAGCTGGTTCTTGAGAGATGAACAGGGTTCCCTTGGTGGGGAAGGAAAAGGGTCTTCCAGGCAGGGCAGGCAGGATCCAGGGGAGAGGATAAGGCCTGAATTGGGGCCAGGACTGTGGCAACAGAGATGGGGACAGTGCAAAGATAGGACGGGGTGGGGGGACAGGCAGTGAGGATAGCACCCGGGGGGTCTGCCTTGTGACTGGGGGGAAGGGTGACAGGGCCCTTGTGAGATGGGGAACCCAGGTCATGATAGGGTCAGAGAAGAATGCTGAGCTCAGTAGCGGTCCTGGGGGCGGCCAGGGGCAGACGGTCCTAGGTGTGGGTCTCAGGGGATGGGTTTAGGAGACATCTGCCTACAGATGTGGAAAAGTGAGGTTGTTCAGGGCAGCGCGTGGGTGACAGGAAATCGGAGACCAAAGGCTGATGGAACTTTGGGGGTCAGCAGAGTTTGTGGGAAAACTAAAGATGGAAGAGGTGGTGATGGGAGAACAGAAGGCACGAGGGAGAGAAGGCAGGCCAGGCCGCACAGAAGAGGAGGGGGTGCAGGGCAGCAGCGTGGAGAGCGGAGCTGCAGGCCCGGGGCGCGCCCACCTTGTTCAGAGCCATCTGGAAGATGTCCTCGGGCGAGTGGCCCTGCTCCTGGGGCCGCAGGTCATAGCCCAGCTTCTCGGGCATCTTCTCCACCACGTAGTTCCGCAGCTTCACATCGCTCACTTGCGTCCACGCGTTCTCGTCGTACTGGACGAACTCGGTCAGGTTGAGTCCCAGGCTCTTGCAGAGCTTGTGGAGGATCCTGAGGGAGTGGGCCAGGCTGGTGAGGGTGCGGCAGCGGCGGTAGGGGCTCCCTCTCCCCTGGGGCTTAAATAAGGGAAGGGGGCTGGTGGGGCAGCTGGGGATGGGGTTTGGAGATGGGCAGGAGGCTGGAGTGGGGCCAGACTTGGGGCCATCAGTGCCGGGGACCGGAATGAAGTGGGAACAGGGTTGGGAGGCTGGGGGCAGTCCCGCTGTAGGATTGGGCTTGGAGTGGGAGCTGGCTTTCGCTGGGGATGGGGAGGGAACTAGGGTGGGGGAGGTAGAGCTGGGGGTCCAGAGGTGCTGGGCGGGGCTGGCTAGGGGGCCAGCTGGACTTGGTGGCCTGAACACTCCAGGGGTACAGCGGGGGGACTGGGATTAGGAAAAGAAGAGTTGGAGGCTGGGTCTCTACCTGACTTGACGGGGGTGGGGGTACAGTTGAGGCTGGCCTCACCTGTGCGTGCTGGGCATGCGCATGGCCCCCAGCTCCCCGGTCCAGCCCGTCTTCTCATCCCGGTAGGTGAGGATGCGGCCCCCGATTCTGCTGTCTGCCTCCAGGATGGTGACCTGTGGGACGGGGGACCTCAGGCAGGGCCCTCCAGGTCCTCTCCTCCCACGGACCCCCAGCCCCACCTGGTGCCAGCCCCCCACTGGCCATCCCCACAACGGCGCAGGCCCAGGCCGGGCAGGGACCCCTTTCTTTTTGGGGAAGTGGGAGGGGCTGCTGGGAGAACAGAATGTCGTCGTGTGCCAGTGTGGTATGGTAATTTCCCAACTGCAACAGGAAGGCTGTTGGCCAGATTAAAGAGGGACTTCCCAGCTCAGGGAGGCAAGAATTTCTCACACGCACAGAAGCCCCTAACCAGGTTCAATTTTCTTTCTTGGATTTCAGTGAGAGGGACAGTGTGTCTGTCTCCCCAACACAAGTTCCCCCCAGAAGTTTAGAGTAAGTTTCCAGGGACTTCTCTCCAGATGACAGAGTGTGGGACGGAGTTACAGGCCTCCGGGTGCAGCACACGCTCCCTCTGGGCTTCACGGTAGTGCGGGGATGTCAGGCCTCACCCCCAGGCCACGGCAAAGGAAGCATAGCTCCCCATTCCCCAACCCCCTTCACATCCACCCCTCCACAGGTGTCCCTCCAGCTGCCGCAGGAAAGACTCAAAGTAGTCTGCCAGCAGCACGTCTCACCTTGTGGCCGGCATCGCTGAGCACCTTGGCGGCCACCAGCCCGGCCACGCCAGCACCAACCACAATCACCCTCTGGGGCTTTGAGGTCCGATTGAGACCCAAGGTCACGACCTGGAGCAGCTGCTCATAGTCAGGATCGTGCATGCATCTCTCAAAGGGGTCCTGGCTACGGACGGCCTTCCACTCCAGGGAGGCCACCAGGCCCAGGAGGATGGGGACCAGGGCAAGGAGGCGCCGGGCTGGGAGGGAGGACAGGGTCAGTGGGTATGTGGGGGCAGCAAGAGTAGGTTCTGCCCCCACCCCACCCCCAGAGCCCCCTCTGTACTTACTTACCCAACGAGGCCATGACTCTCACTGGGAGGTGGTGTCTGGGTTGGGGAAGCAAGGGTCACTGTGACAGGGTCCTGGGTCCCACCCCAGCCTCCCCGTGGCCTGCCCAGCCCCCACCTCAGCCCTCTCCCCTACGGCCACCACTCTCTGTGGTTGCATGTGTCCCCTGATCCTCATCCCACAGCCTCCTGTTCTGCGCTCGCCCAGCTGCCCTTCTCTCCCTATCTCTACATCCTTGTCTCTTTCTCTTCTCTGTTCCTACTTTCTCTCATCTCCTCCCTGTCTGTCTCTCTTCGCCCCTCATCTCCCTGTCTCTGTGTCTGTGGGTCCCCCTCTCTCCCACCCTCCTCTGTACCTTGACTGTCCCAGGACAGCAGCAGCACTGCGTCTCTCCTCTGTCCCCTCCGTCTGTCTGCTGGTCCCCCTTCTCTGTCCTTAAACCAGCCCCGCCCTGTCCTCCCCTCCCTTTGGGAAATCAGGCTGCTCGGGGGAAGCGAAACTGCTTTCCCTGGGTTCCAGGGTCAGGTGGTCAGAGTTTAACTGAGGCTGGAGGGAGATGCCTGTGGGGCAGGGGTGTCGGGAGGAAACAAATAGGTGTAATTTCTTTCTCTTGCCCCAAAATAGTCCTGGGACGGAAGGGCTGGCAGGAAACAAATTCATAATAAACCATCCTGGGCTGCCCCGGCCTGTCTGGGGCAGGTTCTGGGAACTGTGTCTGCCTTCTCTTCGCGCTCGCCGCCTCCTCCATTCTCGGGCAGGGGACAAGGGGCTTCATCCCTCCCTGTCCGCTGTCACTGTGCCCTGAATGGCACTCGCAGGCCCCGCTCCCCTCCCACAGGGCCGCTCTGAGCCTGTCTCCCGTTCCTGACGTGCCACTGTGGGACTCGCAGGTGGTGGCACGGTGGCCGGAGGCAGGCTCTGGGCCGGACCACTCACGTTCTGGCCTGATGCCTCCCAGCCGGGGGCCAAGGGAGGGCCCTCCCCTCTGTGGCTGCTCCCCACAGCTGTCAGGTGGAAAACTAGGTGCTAAGTCCCGGTCGGGCCCTGTGACCAGCACCCGGGGCCGTGCAGGAACCTGGGGCCCAGGAAATGCCAGCTGCCCACTGCGGGGATGCCGGAGGGGACACTCCTGAGTGTCCCTCGCCCTGGGCACTGCAGGGGAGCAGCGCACGGCAGGGCCGGGCACAGCCCGGAGCGTCGGGGGCGCCTGGGGAAACGACTGCAGGCGTCCCTGCCTCTCTGCCTCTGCCACCCCATCTCTGGGGCACTTTTCTCCGGAGGGGTAGGTGGCAGCCAGTGGGAACAGGGCGGCTGGGCTGGGAGGACTCCCCCACGGGGAAGCAGGTGTCTCATGGCTGTGAGGGCTTTGTCGGGGGGAACATACCGCTGGTCCCCTGAAATGAGTGGGGGCGGAGAGGCAGTTGGGAGGTTGATGTTGGGGCAGGAGGAAAGGCGGCGGGCGGCATGTCCACAGCAGCAATGGGGCTGGAAAGTCCGAGCCGCGAAATCAAAGGATGTGGTTTGATGGAGGAGGGTAGGGGTGAAGGGGTGGGTGTGGGTGAGTCAGAAAACACAGGGTGTGGGTGGGGGCAGGCAGTGGCCAAGAAGGAAACAAAATCAGTGAGCTGGACAGAGCTTGGAGATGGAGTGAAAGCAAAGGGCTCATGTCCGTGAAACAGCAGTGGGAGGGACTGTCCCTGGTGACATCCACTCTGAGGTGGTCCCTGGCTCTGTGCTTTGCTTTCACTGGGGACCTCACAATGCTGCTTTGACAGAGGACGAGACCGAGACTCAGAGACGGTGAGCGGGCGGTTAGTGGGAAACCCCAGGACCTGCCCCAGGCCTCAGAGCGGGAGGCCCGCCCGTGGCAGCCCTTGCCTGCTTCGCTCAGTGACACAGGGATGCATGTGCCACGGGGCGGGGGTGGGGCGGGGGAAGATCGACCTTACTTGCAGCAACAGCAGCTCTGCCTGGAGCACGGATCCCCCTCTAGTCCTAGACACCTGATCCTCACCCCATAGCCTCCCGTTCTGCAGGCCAAGTCCCACACGGAGAAAGGAAGCAGAAATAACGTGGAAGCAGAAAGGGACGGGGAGGCAGCAGCACCCAGGGACTCCCAGGCCTGGAACATCATCCGCTCCCAGAGCGGCTGGGGGGCCCTGCTGGGGGCCCGGGGTGGACCGCCCCCTTGTCTTTCCCATACAGAATTGCCCTTCAAAGTCCCCCCGGCTCAGGGCCCTACCCAGCGCGCCCCCTGGACCCAGGGAAGAGGAGTGGCGGGCAGGCCACTGCTCAAGGAGGTTGCAGGGCAGAGGGAGGGCAGGCGGCCAGGCGGGACTCAGGGAGGCTGCCCAGAAACCGGAGCCGTGGGCGGCAGAGAGCAGGTCCTGCTACGGCGGGGCCTGACCAATCTCCTAGCTGCCGATGAAATGACTAGGGGCGCTGTTCTGTCCCCGGTGCCAAATGCTTGACACAGTCCTCTCATTTACTCCAGGAGCAACTTGACAAGGGGGACGGGGAATCAGCTGTCCCCACTTTACAGTGTATAAAACTGAGGCCCAGGAAGTCAGCAGCTAAGAAGGGCCAGAGCCTGTGTTTGATCCCAGCGGCTCGGCTGCAGCCCTGTTCCCAGCCACCCTGCGACCAGCAAGGAGCCCGGGTTTGAGGACGAGGGATGGGGCAAGGACAGGGTCTCTCCACCTCAGCACCACTGCCATTCGGAGCTCTCTTTGTGGGGGTCGCCCTGTGCACTGTAGGGTGCCGAGCAGCCTCACTGGCCTCGACCCACTAGACGCCAGTAACACTTGCCCCTCAAGCCGTGACAACCCCAAATACCTCCCTACGCTGCCAACTGTTTCTAGGGTGAGGCTGATACTGGGTAGAACTCCCAAGAGTGACCAGATATGGTCCAGGATGGAGACCTGGGTACAGTGGGCAGGAAGGCCACTTAGTAGAGGCTGTTTTGGGGTCAGGTGATTATGGGTCATTTGGGGACTGCTTTAGTAGACCTTCCAGAGCCATTCCCAATAATACTAAGGAGACTGGTATTAGGCGTAAATGTGGGGTGTGGATTAAGGAGAAATGGGTTGGAAAAAGAGGATTTAGATTAGGTTAGGCTTCCTGAGCTTATGGGTCGGAAACACAGACACAATGTGAGACTTGGGGGTGGGGTTTGGGGGGGTGCGGGGGGAAAGGCCTGGGCTTCCCAACAAGTTGTGTAGGTTTGCTTCCCTTAATTTTGGGATAGTCTCGCTTTATGATGGAATTTCTAGAAAACAACGTCAATCCTTCCAGTTAAAAACTATCTTTAGGGAGAAAACCCTACTGTATTTGGTTTACTTCTAGAACCACAAAGATGATTCTAATGGAGTTTAGGTCAAGCCCGAAGCAGCCAGAGACCTGGCCGGCCCCCCTGGGGCCTCTATGCCCCACCCAGGTGGCTAATGGCGATGGCAGCCACACAGATGTGTGGGGACAGGACGAGCGCCTTATGTATATATACCCTTTTCTCCGAGTTGGCCCAAAGCCCGAGAAGGTGTTACAACTTTCACACAGTCTAGGGGCACGGCAGAGCCTGCCCAGGGGAAGCCCAGGGCCCCAGGCAGAAGTCAGGGGCCCAGACCTGGGGAGCGGAGGGGGGCAGCTTGCAGAGGGTGGCCTTCTGGGCCCTGATCTCTGGCCTGACCCCCGGACAGGGGTAACCTCCTCACGGAGCCCCCCTGCCCCTCCTTCCCATTTCCAAAGCCCCGGGGCCCAGGGAGGGGGGACACTCACTGCACGGCTGGGTCTGGGGGGCTCTCTCAGCACCCATGGCCTTTCTGGTTAGCCCGGGACAGAAGTCATCATCGGGCGTGTACGGAACCGGGGTGAACAGTCGTGGCTTTGTCCTGATCCCCTTGTTAGACCAGTGGTGCCAGTCCTGGTGTGGGGTCAGATGGTCGAGAGGTTGTGGAGGGCAGGCCCTCCCTTCTCAAAAGCTTATTATGGAAAATTAAAAGCATATATAGAAACAGACTAGGATGATGAACCCAAGTGCACTCATTGCCTCATAGCCTGTCCTGTTTCAATTACATTTTCTCTCCCTCATGGAATTATTTTAAACTGAATCCCAGACATATGATTTGTAGTGAAACACTTCAGCATGTTTCTGTGAGATGGATTGGCAAACGTTTCTGTAAATATTTGAGGTCTTTTAGGCCAGTTTCTCTTTCACCTACTCAACTCTGCCCTCCCAACAGGGACAACATATACATGAATGGATGTGGCTGTGTTCCAATAAAACTTTATTTATAAGAACAGTAAGTGGGGCCTCAGTTTGCCAACCTCTGCTTTAAAAGAACTTTTTAAAAAACAAAACTACAATACCACGATCACATTTAAAGTGGCATTAAATCGATGTCTACATTTCCTGGAATGTCTCCAGAAGTGTTTTTAAGGATTTGTTTAAATCAAGAAGATTCTTTGTCAGTGTCCTTTCAGTTCAGTGGCCTTTGGGGTCTGAGTCTTTAGAACCAAAGGGTCTGACGTGGCCCCGCGGCTCCGGGCCAGACCCGAGCTGGCAGAGCAGCAGAGCAGGTCTGGTTCCTGCCTCAGGGAAAACTCTGGAATGTAACAGGGTTGAACCAAGACAGGGCCTGGGGTGTGGGTGCCCACGTGAGCCAGTGCTTGAAGTGCTCACTGCCGAGGTGAGCTCAGCACGGTGGGCGCCCGGCCGGTGTCCGGAAGCAGGGCTGGCTTCGGGGGGTAAGGGGTTTTGTTTCTGGGAGTCCTCAGCTGCTGAGGTCCAGACGCTTAAAAGCTCTCAGACCGTTTGGAGGGAGCCGTGGTGTGCTGGCGCTGGCCCACACCAGCTCCCAAGTCTACTGATTAATTCTCAGGATCTTTGGTTTTGATTTCAAGCCATTATTTAGAAATTATAAATATTTACAGTTAATTTTGTTTTTTAAAAAACATACCAGTAATAATTGACACTCGTCACTTCCTAAGTATTTGTGCACATTTTACAATCGTACCTGTAGAGTGTGCATCAGTTTCCTGAATCCGTGTTGGGTGACTCAGGCTGGCGGCCTGAAATCAGCCGTGGTGGAACCATTCACGCCATGGGAACTGGGCACACGCTACCCGTCAGGGCGTCCCCCGCCCGGAGAGATGCCCGTTAAAAAACACTGCTGACCAGCACACCGCTGCTTGGGAATCCCATTTCAACCACCCCTAGGAGGTCGGGACTGCTCTGTTCCTCTGGAAATCCCTAGCTGTTGCAAACCCCTGATGCCCTTGATGCCAAGCTTTGCCCCAGGCAGGGGCCCGTCCTGGGAAGGGGCTGGGCCCTTTATTACCAGAGGCAGTAGTTTGGGGGTTTGAGATGAAAAGAAAGCCACGCCATAAATCCAATCACCACTCTTATCCCTAATCAGGGAGAAGAAAGGCCGTAGCAGCTTACTGAGGCGAGATTCACCTTTACTCAATGGAGAGGAACTTAAGCAGAGGCCATCTGTCTGCACTGGCAAGGGGGAGCTGTGTTTTCTTCCTGGAAAGGGAAAGCACAGTTACAATGGAGCCGTCACCCGCAGAGTGGCACCCGGTCCATCGCTGCCCGTGCTGCGGTCTCGGGGGCCCAGGACGCAGGCAGGGGCCGTGCTCCCCATGGGGCCGAGCACTGCGGCCACCCCTCCCGCACGGCCGTTTCCCAACTTATTACAGCTGCTTGTGTTCTCCCAAGTAGGGTGCCCAGGGTACGCGGGGATGTGGGAAGAAAAATGGAAGTTTGTTTTTATTTTAAAAAAAAAAAGTTCAGCTTTACTGATGTTTTAATATGTAAAATAGGAATATTATATACATTAGAAATGCAAGCTCAAGAAAAAATTTTTTTTTAAAGATTTATTTTTAGAGGGGGAGGGAGGGAAGAGAGGGAGAGAAACATCGATCAGTTGCCTCTCACACCCCCAACGCGGCACCTGACCGGGACGTGAATTGGCAACTTTCTGGCTTGCAGACGATGCCCAACCCACTGAGCCACACCAGTCAGGGCAGCAAAATTTTTTTTCTTACATCAGTTGTGACACCCTGCCAGGACCTCCTAGGGAAACATCATTTTTGTAATCCCAGATGCCAGATCAGGGCCTGGTATGTAGCAGGGGCTCCACAAATGGATGTTGAATGAATGAATGTAGGTCAAATACAAACTACTCCTTACTTTCTAGGAGGGACTCAAGGCCTCTCCTTTTCTCTCCTTCAGGTGGCGGGAGGGGCCCGCGATGGGTCACAGATGAAGTTGAGGCTCAGGGATCACACAAAGGGCCAGCACTGAGGGGGCAGAGCTTGCGGAGAGGCCACTGGGGTTGCCAGGTTCTCCCTCCACTCGCTTCATTTGGACATCACCCAACCTAGCCCCAATCTCGGGCGAAGGTGAGAGGAACCCTGCAACGCCTGCGGCCCTGAGGGACGGTGACCTGGCACAGCACCTGACAGGCTCTCCCCCGTGTTCCTCTTCCCGCCATCAGCATCAGGGAACCCCACCACTTGAACCTGCGTGTATGTGTGAATGGGTAAACAATGGACTGTTTAGTTTGCCTTGTTTCTGAGTTCCAAACAGCATTCGCCTGACAGCCTTCTGGCACCTGCTTTTTACCCCAGCTTTCTCCTTTTGAGTTATTCACATTAACAGCAGCTCATTTATTTTGTTCCAAAGAAAATTTTTATTTTATTTTGGAAAGCAACATACAGTTCTGGGTATGTCAGAGTGCACTGAAGTGTAAAGACAAACAAGAAAGACACCTGGGGTACAGCTGGTTGGCTTCTGCCTCTGGACTCTGCGGGTCTCACTGTACCTGACCAGGGTTGCTTTGGCATCGGGAAGTTGAGAACCACGTCTGTGACCGCGCCTGCCACTTTAGCAGGCATTTTGTGAGTTAATGTTTCATGCTGGCTTTCATTTCTATTGTTCCTTCATTCCGTAAATGTGACAGGGATTATGCTGGGGACACAAAAGGGGAGCAAGAAACACTCCCTGCCCACAGGGGCTCACAATCTAACAGGCAGGCGGAGAAGTAAACAGTACAATATAGTGAGTGGCAAGAGTCACCAAAGGGGAAAGCTCAGTGTGGTGGGGGGACTGCAGGATGACCATGTGACACGGCTCTGGGGCAGCTGAGGTGAGGCCTAACAGAGAGACCAAGAAGCCAAGGACACCAGGCACCATGAAGACTGCCTGGCCGGAGTATGACCCTTTTTTCAACACCTTGTTCGAGTCCCTTATCCGGCCTGTCTCCTGTAAAATCACTATAGCACTGTCTGCTCTAGTCACACTTCACCTTGCACGGGTGACTGATTTCTGTATGTACGCGCCTTAGGCCAGTCTGCTGTCTCCCCGAGCACCGCTCCTAAGAGCATGTGTTAGACGGAGAAGCTGCCCAGGGAGCCCTGGCCAGCAGACGAAGGCTCTCGTGCGAACGGGCACTTCCCCGGCACCAGGCTGGGCCGAGCGGGCTGCCGTGGATGGCTGCAGTGGGTGAGAGGGTCTGGGACGCATGAAAGATGCAGAGAAAGCACACTTGCTAGGCTGCTGCCCAAACCAGGGCACTCAGAATACTTCTGCCTGTTAATTCAAAAAGTCAAATCACAAAACAGCTCTCTCAAGAACACAGTTGTTTGAAAGAAACAATTCAAACAACTATTTCATTGCAAACAAAAGCCAGACAATAACTGCGCACCCCCCCAGTGAACACCCTCGGGACCCGCGGGCCCTGCAGCCAGCCCTGGCCTCAGTCAAACGTGATCCGGAAGGTGCGCTCCTGCTCCTTGCGCCGCCCCTCGCACACCTTGGTCACTTCCTCCACCTTCCTCTGCAGCAGGGCCGAGTTCTGGTCAATCCACTGCAGGGAGTCCATGTGTGCATTGAGGATCTTGCAGATCTGCTGCAGCGGGTCGCTGGTGTCGGCAGGGCCCCCGGACGTGTTCAAGTGCTCGATGATGTCCTTGAGGTCCTGGGCCATGCGCTTCAGCTGCGCATCTATATTCTCGGCCAGCTTGTAGGTCTTCTCGCGCTCCTCGTCAGCGTGCTGCAGGTAGACGGTCCCGCTCTGCTCCTTCACCGACTCCTCCAGTGGGCTCAGCAGGTCTTCCAACTCCTTCTGCTGCGACAGGATGAAGTCGAGCTCTTGGTCCAGCCTCTTCTGGTCCAGCTTCACCTTCTCCACCTCGCGGTGGAGGGCGGTGATCTTCTCCCCATTCTCGATCAGCGTGCGGTCCCAGGCGTTGACCTGTGTGGCCTGTTGCAGGAAGTGCCGTTCCTGGTCCTCCAGCTCCAGGCTCCACTTGTTGATCAGACTCTCCAGCTGGGCGTAGGTCATCACTGGACTGGCGGGCCCCCCACTGGCTGCACTGGGGCCAGACGGAGCAGTTATGGTGGTGGGTGCATTGCTGGAGATCCCGGCCGGTGCCAGGGGTTTCAGATTCAAGGCAAAGCTACTGCTGCTGGTGGTGGCGGCGGTGGAGGATGTAGCTGTGGACGTGGTAGAAGGCGCCTTTAAGTTGAAGCCCAGCGTTCCAGTCCCAGATGTTCCAGCCGTGGTTGCTGGGGCACCAAGGGAGAGCCCAGTGGTGGCAGACGAAGTTGGAGCAGTAGCGAGTGAGGCAAAGAGCGTGGGCCCAGCACTGGAGGTGGCAGCAGTGGGTGCGGGAGCAGCTGGCTGTGTGGCTCCCGCTCCAGTGGCTGCTGGTGTGGCCGGAGTAAAGGCCAACCCAGCAAGTGTCGTGGGCTGGGCCGAACTCCCCATGGAGCCAATATTGAAAGTGGAGGTACCCCCGGTCTGGGACGTGCTTCCACCTGTGAACGAAAAGCCCCCGGGTGTGGTGGACGGAGCAGCGGAGGTGGTGGTGGAGCCGAACACAAAGCCGGTGGGTGCCGTGCCCTGGCTGGAGGTGACAGTGCTCGAGATGGCATTGGTGAGGGTGCTTCCGCCAAGCCCAAAGCCACTGGGCTGTGCTGCGGCTGGAGTGGCAGCTGCGTTGCCCAAGCTTAGCTTCGGAGCACTGATCCCTAAGGAAAACCCAGTTCCTCCTGCAGCGGGAGTTGTGGTTCCAAAACTGAAGCCTGAGGTCTGTGTCGCCGGCGCCTGGGTCGTGAGTGAGAACAGGCTCGTAGAAGGGGTGCTTGCAGCAGGCTGGGACGAAGTCCCAAAATTAAACCCGCCAGTGCCAGACGTAGAGAAAGAAAACCCGGTAGCAGGGGTGGTTGTTGCTGTCTTTGCAGTGCCAAACGTGAACCCGCCTGTGGGGGCCCCAGTGCCTCCAAAATTAAACACGCTCATGGCTCCAGACTCCGGTGGCAGCAGCTACTCCGACTCCCAAAGCAAATCCGTCAGCGTCTGCAACCTTGGGAAGATTTTTAAAGCAGAGGAAGTGACATGATCAGATTACAGTTTCGGAAAGGCAACCGCATTGGCACGATGGCGTGCGGAGTGACTGGATAACCCTAACCTGTGGCCACTCTCCTCTTCCTAACCAGGCCCTGCCAAATATACTGGGAAAGACGGAGCTGGGGGTCAGGCACTAGGAGACAGATGTGCTCGGGACATGCTCAATCTTTTTCAGCACAAGTGGGAATCCTGCTGCCGCGGGGGAGGAGGCCAAGAGCAGGCACTGGAACTGACCTCAGCGCCTGGGGAGGCAGCCAGATTCGAGGAGCTTCTGGCAAGCAGGACTAGAAGCACAGTGAACGTCACCTTTAGGACCTGCTCCCCAGGCTTCCCTGCGGACCACAGGCGGGAAGGGGGGCGGAGGAGGATGCTTCCTTGAACGCTCTTCCGGACCTCACAGAAGCAGGCCCCAGAAGCTGAGCCGTATGGTACCCCTCATCACCGAGGAGGACGGAGAGCACGCTGGAGCGACCCCACCCTTCTTTGAACTCAGGGGTGGGCATGAGACCCAAGTGCTCAGAGAGCATGGCCACAGTGACTGAGTCATTCAAGGAGACATGGAGACCGAGTGGCCAACCAGAGACCTCCCCTGGGATTTCTCCCCAGGTGCCTGAGGGCAGGTGGCCTCCTTCACCTGCAGGTTTAGGGGCACAGGAGGTGTACCTGGGGTACCCCCATCCTCCCAGCCACCACTAGAGAGAGTGAGGGGGGTGGGGGGGGAGGGAGAGCATATCCACACCCAATCTCCCCGAGAAGCTTCACGAGCCAGCACATCTCTGTTCAGTTTAAACTGAGCAGATTTCTGTAATTTTATACTGAAACAGCATTGAGCAGAGCCATCTGTTTGCTGAAAAATCAAGTTACTTGAGGAAAGGGTCAGAGGGCGCAAGGACAGAAATGGTTTTGGGTACACAGTTATACGTTGAGCACCCATGGATTCAAGGATGGGTTCTAAATGGCATCATGAGTGTCCTTATAAAAAGAGCAGAGGGACATCTGACCGGAGGAGGAGAGACCAAGTAACGATGGAAGCAGAGATGGGAGCGATGAACTTTGAACTTGGAGACAGAGAAAGAGGCCATGAGCCGAGGACTTCGGGTGGCCTTTAAAAGCTGGAAAAGGCCAAGAGAGATTCTCTCCAGAGCCTCCCGAAGGAACTATCCATCCATGCAGGCACCCTGGTTTCAGCCCAGTGCGACGGATTCCACACTCCTGACCTAAACTGGGAGGGAATGCGGTGTGCGCTGTTTTAAGCCACTGGGTTTGTGATGATACGTGCAAACAGTCACAGAACTAACACAGCCAAGAAGCAGAAAGTGTCTGACAAAAGTGAAGCGTGACCTGGTGACTGCCTAGCACTCTGATCTCAAATAAGGGACAGGAAACCTCTCTGAGGCTCAGTTCCATCATGAGGTAAGTAGGGTGGCAGCTCCAACACTGAAGTGCAGCTAACAACAGGGCACTATTTAGGGTGTTCGCTGGTACCGCCACCGCGCCAGGCAAGTGCCCCCCGCCCCCACCTTTCACATTGGGCAGAGCCCCTGGAAGCTGGTGAGGGGGGACCTGCAGCCAGGGCCAGCTCAGCAGCAGGGCTGCGAACGCGCGGCTATGGCTACGGGGCGAGGAGCGCCAGTTCCGACGAAGAGAAGGGGATTTCCAGGCGGCAGCCCCGCCCTGGCGGCTGTGTGCCCAGCTCTGTGCTCCGGACGCCCCTCAGCCGGACCTCAACTCACTTCCCAACCGGCCTACCAGGCTGGGTGACGGCCCAGTGCACGGTGTGGGGAAAGGCTCAGACTGGAGTAACTTGCCAATTCTCATCCAGTGGTGGGCCCTGAACTCCAGTTCTTAGACTGCAAACGCCCTTTAGTTCTGCTCCAAAGTGGGTCCACCATCTGGTCCTAGGGAAGAAGCCCTGCTTCGGGGCACGGCCGCTTTCCCGCTTCCATCCAACACCCTCACATTATTTTCCCCGCATCAAAAACAGTCAAGGCAGTTCAACGGCAGGACTGTTCCCTGTTTCAGGCATGAAATTGGTCTCCAGGAGATAATGTGGGTTTGAATTCCGCTTCTGCCACTACCAGCTGAGGGTCTTGGAGCAAGTTACTCCTCGGACTCTCTATGCCTCAGTTTCCCCATCTGTAACGAGGACAGCCCCCTCCCACTGTGAAGATTCAACAAGGTCGCGACTGAGAAGCCAAGTGTCTGACTCAGAGAAGATGTCCACAAGTTCCATTTCCTCTTCCCTTTCCATTTTAATTTTAGTTTTTGTTTAATTGATTTTAGAGAGAGAGGAAGGGAGGGACAGAGGGAGAGAGGGGGGAGGGGGGGGAGGGAGGGAGAGAGAGAGACAGAGAGAGAGAGAGAGAGAGAGAGAGAGAGAGAGAGAGAGAGAGGAGGCGCACTGATTTGTTGTTCCGCTTATTTATGCATTCGCTGGGATCAAACCCACAACCCTGGCATATCGGGGATAGTGCTCTAACCAACTGAGCTACCCGGCCAGGGCTCGCTCTCGCTCTCTCGCGCGCGCGCGCTCTCTCTCTCTCTCTCTCTCTTCAGGCCATTCTATGATTTGAAGTGTCCTCAGGTTAGGAGAATCCTGACTTGAGTCAGAGGAAGCCTAGCCCTTCCTGACTTCCGCCTTGTCCTCTGCCTTCTTCCCGGAACCCTTGTTTCTGCTGGCTGTCCCCTCCACACAGCCACGTGCTGCTGGGGAGACGACCCCAGGGCCGCCCGCGCTCCCGGCCAGCAGATCTCAGCGGGCCCCCCGGCAGCACCTCCCAGGAGCGGTCAGAAGGCACACCGACTGCTGCCAGGCTGACGACGCTGTCCCTCTGCGGGCAGGGTCCTGGCCCTGGCATTTTCACAAAGCCTTCCCGGGGGCTTCTGGGCAAGGCCTCTTCCCTCTCAGGAGGCCACAGCGAGTGTCTGAGGCCCCAGACCCGCAGGTCTCCGCCCTGCACCAGAGCCCTTCTCATGTGAGGACATACCTGTCACTGTAGAGCCACCTCAGGTCGCATCTGTTATTAGCAGCCACCCACAGGTCTCAGTTCTTAGGTCCTCAGCCCCTGAGAACTCTTCTATTAATAAGTTACAGCTAAAATTCTCCAGAGGAGTATATTTACACAAAGGTCTTTGCTTTCTATACTGTTGAAAAACCACAAGAAAAACACCCTTCTGTGGGGGCTTGTCTGGTATTAACGGTCCATCATTTACTAAATGCCCAGGTGCCAGGGACCTAATTATGGCGAACACACGCTGACCCAGCCCCAGCCACCTCCGTGCTTCCCCTGCACTGTTGTTCCCTGGCTCCTGAAAGCAGGCCCATCTGGGGCAGGTCCACTGTACCAACTAGGAGAGCGAGGCCTAGAGAGATTACTAAGCCATGGCCTCTGTCCACGAGGCAGCCAGAGACGCAGCAGGCATCAGCTTCCAGACTAGGCTTCCAGGCAGGACAAGGCTAGGCCACAAGTGGGAGCAGGGACAAGGCCCTCAGCCTGGCCCGGGTTCCAGGAAGCACACACCTAAGCTGAATGTTGACGGATGCAGCACCGACCGGGAGATGGGGAGGAAGGGGCTGGTGAAGGCGGAGAGGGAGAGAGGCCGACACGGGTGTGTTTCTGGGGTGGGGGGGGCTCGGTGACTGGGGGTGGCTGGAGGAAGTGTGTGCAGTGACGATGCTCAGCGGGCCTGAGCCATCCAAATCCTGCCCATTCCAAAGGACTGACCCTTGATGGGCTCCTGAGAGGGAGCCTCTAAGTCCTTGGAGTGCTCTGCCCGCCAGTGTCTTTAAGGTGAGGCCTTGGCCATGTGACATCAGCTTGACCCTCCGAAGGGGCTGGAGGCTGAGTAAAAAAATGTGACTGGCTTTTAATAAAAACCCTGCACAGCAAGGCTTGCCTTGTGGATAACAGTCTATGCGTGTGGTCACACGTCGTCACTGGGAGGATTAAATGCTGTGTGACCACTGGAGGAGATGGTGGACACTGGCGCCTGGCCCCTCCTGAACTCTGGCCCGGCCTCAATCCGGTCACCGTACCTGTGAGCCTGACAGCGCTGCCGAGTTGAGTCCTCCCGGCGAATCCCTGAACCTGAGAGTAGTCATGGGGACCCCTAACTAACATGCTGTGTGACACACGGGGAGGAGTTGGCAGAGCCACCCTTGCCATGCCAATGGCTCAGACACCTGGTTCAGTGCGGGCACACACTGAAGCGGCTGGAGGTGGATGGCCGGGAGGAGTCCAGGTGATGGCCTGGGCCAAGAGCCCAAGATCGGGGCCGGACAGAACTCTGGGGGCAGAGGAGAGAGGATCCCAATTTGGGAAACGTCTAAGTTTTGCACCAAGATAAAATAAAGTGATGGTCTGCAGGATCTGTCCCTGTTAGCAAAACCATCGACAACCAGAGCTTCGGGAGTTTCTCACAAATGGAACTGAACACACACACTATTAGGAGCTCTGACGTAGGCTTCCCTACTTTTATCAAAGTGGGGAGCTTTCCTAAAAAAGAAACCGGTGGTGCTGGGGGAAAGGAGGAGGAACAGAAACTGTGTGCTTTCCTATAAACTGTGGGGTGTGCGCACAGGCCGGCGCCCGGCTGGACAGCACAGCTGCGGCCCTGCGCAGCTCTCCCGCGACGAGTCCGCAGCCCTGGGAGGAGCTGCCGCGAGGTCCCACCCTTGCCCAAGTTTCTCCAACCACATCTGCCTGCCTTCCCAGCCCAGGGAAGTCAGAGAAAGGCCCACGTGGGATTCTGACCTACATACACAACCCATCCCAGGGCGAGGACCAGGGATCTCTGTCATCTCATGCTTCGCCCAGGTCCACTGGCCTTCTATCGTCAGTTCTTTTGCCGCTCTAACTCCTCACTTTAATATTTACTCAGCCCTACTCTGCACAGTAGTAACAACACACAGAGGAAAAAGGCCCATCTCCCAAGGTGGGGTCAGAGTAAACAAAT